GTGTGGTGGGCATGCTAAATGCCAGCCGTCATGGCAATTGTTGTGCTGAGAATTGTCATCTAGGTCTTCCATGTGCCCCTCCACCTCATCCTTACAATGTCTGTCCTCTCTGTCGTCAAGGACAAAGTCATTCTTGAGCCTTTTCGTACCCTTACTTTGCCTTTTCCGTTCTTTGTTTCTCTTCTCTTCATCTCTCTTCCCTGTGTTTATCACCTCCCCCTTTAATCTGCCTCTTTCTCACAGCGTACAAGTGGGCCGGGGATGCGGGCAGCTCGCGCTCAGCTTCATCAACGAGGCGAGCCTTGTAAGTGAGAGGCACGGTGAAGGGGGAGTTAAGGGAAGAATGAGAAAAATGAAGGGTTTCGATGTGCCCCTCATCTTTGTCTTGTTTTTCAATCTTTACCATTTGTTTCACAAAGTGCGCTCTTTCAGTTCATAGTTATGTGACAATATATATGATGTGAACCACTGCTGCTTCTTATATGGAGCCAGTGATGTGTAAATCTATACATCTATAGTTGTTCAAATCTATAGATGTACAGATGCATACATATGTATTGTGTGTGTACCTCAATATCGATTTATAGCTGTAGTGATACCTATACATGCGTATACAAGAATAGAACTATGTAAACCCTAATGACTATACTCTAAACCCCTAAACCATTAAACCCTAAGACCCTAAACCCTAGACTAAACCCTACATCCAAACCCTCAGCTGTAAGCCCTCAACCCAAAACCGAAATTTCACTCCCCGCACCTTCAAAAAACTTATTTTCCCATCACAGAGTACTCAGGACCCGCAGCACCCTCGACCTACTCCCAACAAAATTTGTTGACGTTTTCGGTGGGAAAGGGGGACAGGGCTAGTACGGGTTTTCGTATGGCCCGTACATTCCGTAAATTGATCTACATAGGATCTGGCTGACTGTAAACCGGCAGTTGATCAAATCGCACCCCATGTGTTCAGCAACGTGCATGCAAAAGTTCACAAGGAAACCTCGAGTCAAGGTGAAAATCTCTGCATTCCTTAGCCAAGTCGGAAGCCGAAGGCCATACTCAGACCAAGACTTCCCCCAATGTATTTGAATGACAAGCAATCTCTCTCTCTCTCTCTCTCTCTCTCTCTCTCTCTCTCTCTCTCTCTCTCTCTCTCTCTCTCTCTCT